TAGGTAGGTAGGTATGTAGGTATGTACGCATGCATGTATGCATGTATGTATGCATGCATGCATGCATGTATGAATGTATGTGTGTGCATGTATGCATGCCGTGCATGTATAAATTTAGGTATGTACACACCATGCATATATATATATATATATGTGTGTGTGTATGTATACCGATATATATATATATATATATATATATGCGATATCGCATGTATATATATATATATAAATGTATATACATATACACACACACAGACATTACACGCCCAGGCCTGCAGCGCCAACACTGCCGTGAGGACAAGCGCCGAGGCAAACGTGGCGACCCGCTGCCACGGAGATCTTCAGGGATGACAGCTGATGTGATCCGACATCTGGTTGTGGGCAAGCAAGGTCCGTGAATCCAAGTCGGTGTGACTCACGAAGAGGTTTTGTGCCACAGCTCACCACGCAAGCACTTCCATTTTGTGTCGCGACCGATTGGCTCAACTTACCGCTTCCGGGGAAGGCGGTGGAGGTAGCTCAACTGACACATTAAACGAAGAGCTGCGGCTACGGTAACGAACAGGTTCACGCAGTTGATGGATGGGTGCTATTTGGTCCTGACTGCCTTCCTAGTGCCTCTGGCACGGAATGTGTCAATGCTACTTAAACAGGTGCAAGAAACAGCTATTCACGCTCTGATGCCATGTTGAAGGCTCCCCTGAAACCGCTCAACAACAACCCCAAAGTATTGCCCCGATGGGACCCTCATGCTACTTCTACAAAACCGTGTTAACAACACTTTGGGCTCCGCGCCTGGCGTGCTCGTGAGACTCCGCCGTGTTCTGGGTATCGGCTCCCCGCAGACTCGGAAGAGTTTGCCTGCAACCGAACGGTGGGGCTCTATCGGGCTTGGGTTTAGGGTTTTTGGCTCTAGGGTTTTGTTTGGTTAAGGATGGTCTGCAAAAGCAGGTAGAGCTTGGCAGATTCCTGTTGCAGTGTGCAGCTGTGGCGATGATGGCTTGTGACTTGCAAGTTGTGAGTAGGAAGCCGCAGTCTTGCATGGGGCAACGATGCCACAGGGATCAGAAACAAGCGGAATCACAGCATGCTCTAACATGTTCACTGGAATGACCTCTTTCGACGTTTGCCCAATGCCATTCTCTACAGAAGGCGTCCTGAATTGGACTGCTTTTGAATGCAGTGGATACAGTGTTGGATGAGGTTAGATCTCGCTTGAGAGTCTACATAGATGGCATTGGTCGACTAGGGTCGGACCTCGAGACGGCTAGATTCGAGCTACTCCACTGTCGTTTCATTTCGCCTTAGCTATGGACAGACAGTCGACTTGGTTGGGCACAATCCATTAGACTGCTAACTCATCGTCTTACTGACAAACTCGACTGGATGATCATTGATTGACTGCTACATACTGCGACCTGCTACGTATGATTCGACTACAACAGCTACGACGACGACGATGACTACTGCTGCTGCTGCTGCTGCTCCTACCACCACCACTACCACCCCCGCTACTANNACGACGACGACTGCGACTACGACTACGACTACTACGACTACTACGACTACTACGACCACGACGACGACGACTACTACTACCACCACCACTACCGACTACCACTTTTGCTGCTGCTTCTGCTGCTGCTGCTGCCACTGCCACTGCTACTACTACTACTACTACTACTACTACTACTACCACTACTACTACCAGTACTACTACTGCTGCTACTACTACTACTACTACTACTACTATTACTACTACTACTACTACGACGACGACGACGACGACGACGACTACGACTACGACCACGGCTGCTACTACTTCTACGACAACTGCTACTGCTCGATTTTAAGACCACAACTACCTAGTCTTCCTGCACGTCCCCTAGCCCGGCTCTGTTCGCCCATTGCTACTATTCCGACTCGCTCGTCTTTTTCGCTGCCAGGAGTATGAATCAGCGAAGGCTGCACAGCCGCAGGGCATCCGACAACGACCCCTTCGGACTTTCGGGCATCCGAGCGCTCGGGTCCGGTCCACATCGGATGTTTGTGCTATTCGACTTCTGCTTTTGTGCATTCCAGGCTCTTACGATATGGGATTGCTTCAAGCTCCTTTTCGATACACGGTTTGACTAATGGAATCGCAGCTGCAAAAGCTCGGCCATGTGCTTTCGCAAACAACAAGTACGTAGCAACAACATGGTAACAATGTTTGCTGTCTTGCTCCTGGTGCCGATCATGTTAAAAGAAGCCTGCGACCGCTTGACGTACACCCTACAAAGCATTGACAACCGCAACTCTAGAAACTCCGACAGTTACACGCTGTCTCCTAGATGTGGTTCGGCCGAGGGGTCCTCGGCGGTGCAGATAGAATACAGCATGCAAGCACTGCGCCCAGGCACGTAGAATGAGATAGAATTGACAAGCAGCGCAGGCGCCGTTGCAGCATTGTTGTTGCAAATGCAGGTTGCTGGGTGATGCTGGGGTCAGGTATACTTATGGCAAGGGCAAGGCGTTGTGGGACTCCGGGTTTTGGCTCCTCGTCCGCTTGTCTCTCAATGCTTGGGCCCTTTCCACAGGTTCTCGCCCCCATGCATGCACGCAGGGCCGAGAAAGGAAAAGAGTGTGGCAAGGCTCAGCGGAATCGCACACTGATCCGAAAGAGATACTGCGCTCACATTAAGGGTTCAGCCGAAGAAGGTCGCTGAGTACTGCCACCATTGAAAGCATTGCTGACCAATGCGAGCCATAACCTGCAACTGCTGCTGCGAGTAATTGGGCTGAGGCCTAAATCCCAACACATCTATGATGCTGACTCAGTGGGTTCTATAAGGAACCCTGACCCCTTTAAGAAATTTAAGGGTTCTACCAGTAATATAATTATAGGGCTCGCGTTTTTGCCTCCTACATTATGAGAGTCTGAGGGCTCTAGAAGTGTAGCAGTGTAGCACACGGTCTGGGGTTGAACCCTAACTCCAAAAACCTGACCTAAACCCTAAAACCACCTAAACCCTAAAACCTCGAAAGTCTAAATCCTAAACCCCACTAGCTTGGCCTCAGCCCATGGCCACGACTCAGAAGACCGAATCCTCTGCTCTCGAGTCGCCTCTGCAAGTGAGATGTCTCAGCTGGCAGCGGCTCTGGGTTAGGTGGGGATTTAGGGCTTCTAAAGATTTTTGGGGGGGGGGGTGTTTCGGGCACGGCAGTCCCGAGGGTCTGGGCTTAGAAGGCTTGGTTTGGGGTGTTGGGGCTCATGCTCTCGCAACTCGACACGGCTAGACAGGTCTCTCGGTTCACGGTTGACTAACAGCTGGAAAGACAGCTCGCAGCACTGTGCATGTCGAAACCTCATCAACTCCAAACCGCAATCCGAAAGTAAGATACTTAGATACCCATAAAACCGGTTTAGGGTTAGGGCTGGGCAGTGGCTTTGGCAGTTGGAGTGGGGAAATCGACTCCTAAGCTTACAGCCTCATTTGATGAGCGTGTGTATTACTGTCGTCATCCTGATGCGAGTCTTGCTAGCAGTCCTCGCTGCCATTGCCACGGTTGCTGCCGTGGGTGTACCCACCGCTGCTGCTGTGTTCCTGCTGGTGGTGTGAGGTCTTCTAGATTACTGTCCACAGGTTTTTTTGTTTTTTGCTGTGTAAAGCACGGTGATGACTGCTTGCTGTGTCCGATGTCTTGTGCTTGCTGTTGTTGTTGCTGTTTCTGCTGCTTCCGCTGCCGTTGCTGATGCAGCGCTGTCGCCGGTCTGTGTCAAAGTTGCAGTATCCCGCAGCCTTCAATGCAACCTTCCTCTACCTTTACACGGATCCCAAACCCTAAACTCCAAGGCCTCAAGCTTTAATCACGAAATCGAAAACGAAACATCAGACCCAAAGGCAACTATGGAAAGATGCAGCTCCCAAAGACGAGACACATAGAGCTTCTACGGCAGGCCAGCAATCGAAACGAAACCTCCGCAAGGGGTCGCGCCATCGGGGCTTCAGGGCTTAAGTGAAAGTTTAGATCGAGTTTAATGTCGGTTACCGCGTACACCACATCCGCAGGTTCTCTTCTGTGTTTTGCACCAGAATTGTTGTTGTTGTTGCTGCTGCTGCTGCTGCAACTACAAATAACCTGAGCTTTAGTCGGAATCCAGTCATCCACCAAATCTCTTGTGGCTTAACGGGGGGCGGTGCGAATGTCGACCGGGTGTACACAGCAAAACTGATAAGGGAAGGACGCTGCAGTTCTGTTGACACTGGACGTTCCTGAGCCCACGCTGCTTGCGCCTCGGGTGGGTCCGCCTCCGGTCGAAGTTCCTGGCGGAATTTCCGTCAAAACTGGTCATGGCTGGTTCAGGGCCTTGAGGCCAGGAGCTAAGAGTAGCTTTCCTCCCGCTCTCCCCTCAGCAACGCGAGCTCGCCCCCGAACCTGCAAAGCTACACTTCTGGCACCGCCTCAGAACACGTGAGCCACCAAGGAATGCAACTGCTATGGGCGATCTACTATGGGATCACCCAGCTACCATAGCAACTTCGTCGGCATGATGCCAGGACGTCTTGAGAATGAGAACGGGATCTTGTGCCAGACTGGTGTAATTCCACAGAGGCCATATAGGGGACATTGCTGGGTGCATCTGGGGATTTCGAGTACAGTATCGCCTCGAAACCTCCGTTTAGATGAAGCTAAGCCCGACATCTGCACCTCGAGATCGGGATCCACCGCGGGATAAAGTTCCTGGCCAAGGAGTCTGTCTGAGATCCCTGTATATCCCTGTGAAAGTTGAAGCTTTGCGGAATTCTGCAGACGATGGGGGCAGTTCTGACTTGATGCAGTCCATACAATAAGCTCAGCACGGTGGTTCGTAACCCTGTCGCCGTGACACCCGTTAAACCCAAATACCTCGCACTGAACCTCACATGCCTGAACCCTGGAACCGTAACTTCACTCCACACAACGCTATACCCAATACGTCCCACCTCAGCCCTTGCTAGCCCCACCAATGCACGTGTCCGTGTCCGGGCCTTGCTCCAGGGGCTCAGGGTGTGAGCACCATCCTCTCCCTGGACGGGGGTTGCGGCCGGGCTGGGGTTTCAGCACTCACAAAGGGCTTAGCAGCAAAAGGGTGTAGGGTTTAGCTGCAAAAGGGTTTCGGGATGTGAAACGATGAATGAATTCAGAAGTCGCGTCATGAGCCCGGAAAGATACAAGAGAATCGGCAAAATTAGTCGCAGTTGGTGATGCTGTCGTCAATGCAAGCCTTTCCCTGTTAAGTTCAAGCGGTCCCAAATACAAATTGATTTCTATTGCTCTGATTTCCATATAGTGTCTTCTCTATATAGTTACTCTAGTTTTGATCACCAGAGTTTGCAGTATTTGCTGTTCGTGTTGTGGGCCGCACTTGTGTTCGCCGGAATGGCATCTAGGGAAGACCCGGCTGGGGGTTAGGGTGACGAAGAACAGCGCATCACCGGAGTCTCTTTCTTCCTGCCGACATTGCTGATTGTGGGAAGCATGGCATCCAGCTTTCAAGATGTACAGCACCGTCAGACCATCATTGAAGGCAGCAGACCTTCATCCCCGAGACCTGCTGGGCCGTCACCCGAACCCGAGGGCACGTCGAAAGGTGCCGGTGCATCAAGGTAGAACTCTGCGCAGCATCTCCAGACTCGGCTTTCTTCCCCATCGCTTTCTTTCGGACTTTCATTTTGACGCGAACTGCAGCAACCGTGTCTACATTCACTCTTGTCCTGGCTGGCCTCTGAGTCTGCACTGGTGCTGGCTCGCATGGAATCCTTGGGGAGGATAAGGAGCTCTCAACCCTACAGGCCTAAACGCGCCGAGGGTTCCCTGGAGTAGGTGCGGATTATGGG